TCCAACATACACACAAACACACAAACACACAAAAACTAATGGGTTACTGTTAGTTAAGTCTTGATAAACAGCAGCTGTGTTCAGCAGTGACAGGCTGATGACGCCAACCAGCAGGACCAAGAAAAGACAGTATAGAGTATGACCAGATGCAGCTGTGCCCATGTATGTCTGTTAACATATTCTCCTGGTTTCAGGGAACATGGGTCATAAAGAAAAGGTAAAAACTGATCTAGCAATTATTTTAGTCAGAGCTCGGAAACCTTCCACACACATTCACTTAGCTAAGCCAGTGAGAGCAGGTGGAGGTGGGGTTACAGAGGACAGACAGAGATAGACAGGTAAAGTGTGAGACACATGGCATGCCAGCTGTTGGTAGCTGAGGAAAAGAGCTTATGAGGTATAAGTTGAAGCTCTTTCTTCCCCTACCTCAGGCCAACAGGGAACCTACTCAAGTCTAGACAGGAGAGATAAGATATTGGGGCTCGGGGCATGTTCTAAACAACTTCAGCTCTCATGCAGGTGGGACTGAAGCGCAGTGAGACAAACTGGAAACCAGCAAATGTGCTTTCAAAAAACATAGGCACCAATTTTCTGACAAATAAAATCATCAGAGATTTCTTAAGTATCAAAGTCCATGATACGCACATTTGTTTTTGCATGATAGGATTGCAGATAAAGTCCTTTGAAAACGCATCATAATAATTTAAATATTGAATTAAACAAGACTTTGTTGCCTGTGGTTGCCAATTGTGAGGCAGTGGTTGCCTCACAATTGTGCTCAGCAGGCCAACAGGGAACCTGCTCAAACCCAGAGAGCTCTCATGTGTTCTCTCCAGTTACTCCAGCTTCCTCCCACACTTTCAAGACAAATATGAACTGCTGAGTTCTTCTGTGCTACCGCTGTAATAGATTGGTGACCTGTCCAGGGTGTGTCCTGCTTCTCACCCTGTGAGAGCTGACATGAGTTTCGGCCCCCAGGATAAACAATTAAGAGCAAATCAGAGGAGCTACCAGTGACCAGGCAGGTAGCTGCAGGTAGTCCATACTGACAGAAACTAGAACAGCAACATTTAACAACCGGGCTGGGTTACAGATGTTGAGAGATTGCACAATAGCTTAACAAGAGAAGGGATTTTACAGCTCTGGCAAGTTATCACAGTGGACTTACACAATTCACACTGCAGAGTGATGTTCCAGGAATGTGGGAATTCGCCAATCCAGTCCATCATAGTCTGTGCTAAAAATTAAACCAAGGCCTTCCTGTGTTTCTTTCCATTATTGAGCCCTATTGAAGCATTACTGCAATAAATGAGGAGTATTTAGATGTACTTCTAACAATGATCTGAATATCTTAAAAGGCATAAAGGCTTAGTCAAAGGTGGGAAGTTTATTTTAGTTTATTAGGGTAATGCAAAATACTTTACAAAGGAAACAAATCTACAATGAAAGGTAACAGACTGAGAAACAGCTTCTGAAACATGAGTGTAATCCTGCTCTTAAGAAGCATCACACAAAGCCTGTAAAACATACACAGACATTAAAAAAAACAAAAAAAACAAGCACTTTCTTTGTTCCTGTTCTTTATGTTACCTCGGGACTACAGTGTCTTTGTTGTTGGAATAGTCTGTAATCCAAATTATATTTCATCACAAGACAACCCTGTTTGCTGTTCCCTGTAAGTACTTGTATCTATAACTCATATACACATACTCTCTGAAGTCTTTGGAAGTCTACCAAGTCTCTGATCTTGATTTAAAACCTTTTAGGAAAGGCGCTTATTGAAAGACACTCTGACAATGATGATCTGGGTGATCTGACCCAGCCACGAAACAGCACTTGTGCTTGTACTTACAAGCAATGTTTTAGTTTTTGACATACTTTGGTCTATTTCAATATAAATTCATTTTTCTCAGCTATCAAACAAATAATATATCAATAAAAATGGAGACTTTATGTATTATCGTGTCTGTTTTCCCACGGCGATTTGTGTAGATACCATCAAGACAAACATAGAGCCTATTCGCAGAACCCTAAATCATTAACAGGATTCTGACTCCACATTATACTGATTCGTGTGAAAACTGTCTCAAACTGAGTTATGTGTGGTGATCCTTTGTTTGTTTTTTTTTCTTTTTGTCACGTCCTCATTTGAGATAGAGTAATGATATCCCCAACGCCTGTATGCAGGAATCACAGGGTTAGTCTCTGTAACACTCACTGCTACAGCATTTTCACACCACAAAGACCTCATCCCTTTGTCTGCTTTAACAAAGAGAAGCCAAAGCAGAAGACAGGCCATTATGGATAGCTTCCTCTTTCTCCGGCCACAGAGATAAATGACAGGGATAAGCATGCTCAGACACACACACGCACGCGCGCACACACACACACTGACACACACACACACTTTCTAGCCTCTATTTTCTTTGTCTATACACTCAGGATAGTAGGCCCCGTTCTCCCATGAGTCATTTTGTTTCCATGTTCTCCTTTGCATACATCTGACAGTTGGTCAAACTAGTTTTTGCACTTCAAACAGCCAGACCACAACTGACGCTCTCATAATTACTTTGTGTGGTTTCCCTGTTGTCAGAATATGCTGTTCAATACCGTGTTTTCCAGCATCCTTCACTTCTTATTAGCCCGGCACTGGCCTGATCTGGAGGGTTTTAGCGCAGAAGCTTAAAGACGTTTGGAACGCTCTTAACTGTGAACCTCGGGCCTTTGAAGCTTGTGACCTCTTCGTTCTGGGGTCACAAGCATTTTGCCCCGGTGCCACAACAACACTAGACACCTACCCCCAGCCCGACTTCCTCTGGGAGGCTCGGCTGCATTGTAAACCAGAAAATGCATTAAAGGCAACTACAGCCTGGTGGCAACCATACCCAGTAAATAAATATAGATAAACATACCTCTAAGATCACATGTTCAACTGTGACACTCGCAAATAAACTGTACAAAGCACACACAGAGACAGTAAGGTGCTGGTTCTCCTCCACCAGCCCCAAATTGCACTGTTAACCCTCCTTTTGTGAATTAAACTGGCTTTATCTTATACAAGAGAAAACCAGTCACCCTTCTTTATCCTGCAGCTCCACTAGTTTCTGTTTATTATGCTAATATATTTCATGAGCTGCTTCTTCAGCTCTCTTAATTAATCTCAAAGTAAAAGTGGTAAGCACATTTATCAGGCAAAGCTTCAGGGGCGAGGAGGTGTGGGCGGGAGGAGTGCAGTCACCTCATCTCCTCTTGAAAGCCCATCTGAATTTTTCTCTAATCTTTTGAACCGAAAAATTAGGCTGGAAACATTAAAGCACAAAATCAAATGGAAACAAAAGGGAAACCCCCTGACTTATCTTTTTTATTGCCTTTAAGTTTCTTCTCATTGCTGCACTCTAATCAAAACAACTTAGAAGAGGAAAAATAAGAGGTGAGAGGAGAGATGGAGTAAAGAGAGAAGGAGGAGGATGATAGGGAGGGGACAGATGAAAGGTGAGAAGGAGGACAGTTTGTTTTAAGGCCCACCTGAGGGCTGGAGCAGTTTAATGTGAAGGACAGTGTATTTGTGTGTGTGTGTGTGTGTGTGTGTGTGTGTGTGTGTGTGTGTGTGTGTGTGTGTGTGTGTGTGTGTGTGTACAGAGTAAAAGGTAGCAAGGGGGCGAAGGTCAAAAGTCTGGCAGACAGGAAATTAGCCACACCTGAGGATTTATGGACAAAGTCTACTTGAAACCCTCAAAGCAACACAACACAACACAACACATCCACTTAAGAGTGAAGAAATTAAAAAGGTTTAAAAGCTTTTGTTTTCTACACTTCACCGAAGCACAAATATAGACATTTTCTTGACAAAGGGATACTGTTGAGAAGACCAATGCCGCATCTTAAGCTATAGTATAGTCCCCTTTGTCACACACGATTTATCCCTTACTCTCATTACCACCTTCATCCATTCTGCAGTTCATCTTCATAACAAGCTCATTCCATCCCCCCAACCTATTTCTCTTTCTTTCCACCACCCCCATCACTATCTGGTAACATGGTTTCAGCTCAGCCTTCATTCATTTCCTTCTGTCAACTTGCCAGAAAACAAAAATCCTTCTACGGCTCGATGACAGGACAAAGACGGCAACGTCTCACCAAATTACTTGCACTGAAACGAGACGCTTCAGAAAGTCCCGCAGATATAAAAATATTCAAGCGATATTCTCATTTTACTGTTGTGGCCCACATATCCCAATAACACAGAAACTTGCGTTTAGGATGAGTTTACGTACATTAGCGGTGTGGTGTCCGCAAAGCTCGCTGCATTATGTCCTGTGTAGTTGAACGAGTATAATCAAATCCACCCGAAAATGTGCATCGCTTTGTGTGTTTTTATTTATCATTGATATGGGTAAAAGCAGACATTTTCTAGTGGATACTGTAACTGTGCATTTGCTTTTCAGTCGTTCACTGAAATGCATGTAAAGAAGCGGAAACTAGGCCACCTTAACAAATGTTTAATCAGAGACTGATTTTTATGTATCCTTCACGGTTCGAGTGAATTTTTCGACCTGCATGTGTAAAAACACCTTGTTTAGCCCATGGTCAAGAAGTTTCGCAATTTCATTCAGACGCACTGTTTTTGTGCCACACCTCAGGATGACCTCATTGAATATTTCCCTGTCCCAGAACAACACAATATCTCTACATGCCACCTTCACTTGCAGGATAATAAATTTACATTTTCTACAGTGACAGCAGGAAACAAGCAAAAAGCATCGCAACCAGAGACATGAGCCAAGTGACCGGCTAGTTATATTTATGTGTCTTTCATTCAGACAAACACATCAAGCTCAGTGCATTCGATAGTAGGTGTATAAAGGCCTCCTGAGAAATGGAGCCTATAGATTCTCTTAGATAGATTATACTCAGTTGAACTGATCACTTAAAGATATTAAGCTGCAACACAGCTTAAGAGAAGTTTAAGAGAAGAAGCAGGTAAGATATTTCAGACCTACCTGTCAGCATCTCCCTGTCCCGATGACGCATTTCGATGGAGCGTCTCTCGAACGGCAGCCATGCTGTCGGGAAGGCGGTTAAGGCGCCGAGTGTACAATCCCAAACCTCCATCAGTCATGTAGCTGCAAGAGACAACCAAAACGTATTAGAAATAAGTAACTCTGACATATATAATTACAGACCTCAAAGAGGATGATTTGAGGTTGCGCCACTTTGTTTGAGATAATGGGACGACTTAACAGACACTTGTCTTCTTGCTGGGGCTGCTTTTGTTATAAATGTCTTATTGAGCAGGAAGCCACATCCATGTAGTTCTCTGGCTGAGGTGAAGCTCTCATCAGTCAGGCTTAAATAGAGCAAAAACCTCCCACATCAACACTGGAGACAGCAAACTAAGGACACATTTCTCTCATGTGGCTAGTGTTCAACAACAGTGGCCTTTAAAAGAAAAAACTGCTTAGAAGACAGTTTGCTCTCTATGTCTACAGGAAGCACATTGCAATTCATCACCAATACTGAGACCATCAGTGCACCAGACTGGAATATTATGATTGACTGAGTAACTAAGCATTAGAAGAAGCTAAAAATACTTGTACTGTATTTATATGTGCAGGCTAAGTAGGGCATTCACTTCATTTCGTAACGGAAAATTATATTTGAAAGGACTCAATTTATTGCTTGCTGGCCTCGGAGGCTCAGTGAGCAGCAGTTACAGCCTGTGGCTAACGCTGAGGCCATGAGCACTTACATAAACATTCCCATTCAAACTAAAACAACAGTAACTAATTCCCCAAATATTTACCTGTGGAGGAGCTTCCTAATGGAACTAAATATTGACTCCTTTAACCCGGGTGTAATTTAATGAGATGTTTGCTGGTTTAACGTTGAAGTTTTGATGATTCTGTGTATGCAGTGATGTGAGTAGAGAAAGAAGCCTAGCAAAAGCGCGACCACTAAAACAGTTATGCGTTATCTCAATGTAGATCTCGGTGAGAGGAAACCCTGCACGCACAGACAAACGCGCATTTGTACCTAAATGTGTATACAGTATACACACAGTACAGTGTTTCGTACAGACAGAGCTTCTTTGTATGTGACTCAAATGGAATCAGCACGAAAGCAGATTCTGTGTGCTGTATCCCAGCAGCATGAAAATGTAACTGTGTCTAAGTAACCAACCTGAAAAGTATCAAATGTTATACTTTCTTAACCAGAAGAGAGAATTATACAAGCTTTTTTAAAAGTTGTCTGGTAGTAATGTATTATGAATTGCCAAGTGATAAAACTAAACTAAATATGCACTAATTCAATGTATTTAACACTCAAGGCACTTCATATTGTACATTAATACAGAGAAAACCAACAATCAGACAACACTGCCTACAAGCAAGAATTTGGTAACAGTGGAAAGGAAAAACCCCTTCTAACAGGAAGACACCCCTACAAGAACCAGACCCAGGGAAGGGCAGCCGGCAGTGGCGTAGCGGGGGGGTGGCTTACTGGGCTTAAGCCCGGGGTGTTTTTTCAGAAGCCCGGGGTCTTTTGTAGTGTAATTTTTTCATAGTTAGATGCCTGGCTGACAACTGTATAAAGCAAAAAACTACACACAATATTCGAAGCACATAGTGCACACTGTGGGAATTTACGACTGTGCGTAAATCCCCCCTAATATTGGTATGATCCGAGCTCAGGCACTAAGCGGGGCGGGGCAGCTGCTGCATATTTCTATGCAAAACAAGAGGAACTTCAATACACAGCAGTATATTCACAGTTGAAACCAGATATTTACATACACTTTATGGAAAACACAAGAACATTTTTTTACTGTACAACATCAATTTAGAGTAAACTTGTTTTGGATAAATAAATATTGAAATATCTTTTGAATTAGTTAAATGTCAGAATAAAGAGAGACAGAGCGTTCTGTTTTTTATCACTTTCGTCAAATTTAGGAGTACATATACATTAAGTTTATTGTTAATTAATAAGAAACTCCAGACGATTCCATTCTGAGCTGACGAAGCTTCTGATAGGTTAGTAGAGTCCATGTGAGTAAATTGGTGGCACACCTGTGGATGCATATAAGGCAAAGCACAGAGTCTGTTTCTTTGACATGGGAAAATCAAGAGATGTCAACCAAAACACCAGAAAAAGAACTGTGGAGCTCCATAAGTGTGGCTCAATTTTGAATACAATTTGGTGCCATTTGCAATTAAGAAATACAGATAGTTTCTCTCTTTACTCTTAAAGTTAACAAATATGTTTTTTATATTTATCAATCTAAAAAAATAAACATTTAGTCTAATTTGATGTTACAATTAAAAAAGTGTTTGTGTTTTGATCTGAAGAGTGTGTAAATATCTGGTTTCAACTGTATATTTGATGATTGTCAGCACAAAGAGGGAGAGAGAGGAACAGAGAGGGAGATGGAGAATGAGGACAGAACAGAGATGAACAAGAGCAGGTGAGACTCACATGTTAGTCAAATGGTTGTTTACCAAAAGTATCACCGTATCATAGGTCCTCATGTATCTCGTACCTAGTGTCTCTTTTTAGGTTTGCTATTTTTCAGATTCTATATTTATTAAGTTATGCAGGCTTGTTTGCACAACAAGGCTAAATAATTATAGAAACTTTTTTCAATCTAAATAGTGGACTTTGGTAGAATAAAAAAAAACAAGTGTAGTGCAGGTCTATGATGATTTTTAGTTCTACTATCATCTAGTTCTGATTCTGGTTCTGTCTTGGTTAAGTCCCAAGTAGTCCTGATTTTGAACTGTTGTAGTCCTGTTTTAATTCTGGATCAGTTCTGGGTCTGGTTGAATTGGGGTTTAGTCCTCGTGT